GGCCATCGACAAAGCCTATGAACCTCTTCCGCAGGAACACCTCACGGTCGGCACGTTCGCGAATCGCACTCAAGGTCCGGGAGGAACGCTGGTATCCCAGGTGCTGGACCACTGCAACGAGAAGGCTACTGCAGACAGCATCGATTCAGCAGCTCCGCTCAAACCCGGCGTCGTTCCGCGAAGAGGAGCTCCACCCCCAAACCCTTCCCCTGCTATTGGGCCTCCTCCGATGCGGGAAATCCGCGAATTGACATACCGGTGGGGGTACACAACTGCTGAGCCGACATCGTGCGGAAGACGTCAACCTACACCCGTGCTCACCATAGCGCCACTCTCGAGCGCGCATTCAGGCTTGCCTTCGGCTATAACCCGGCCGCTCGCGAGTTTCGTGTGCTCATTTTTTTACGACGCCGGCCTCGCTGCAAGCCGGACGGGCGGTCTGCGATCTGCCTGCGGCCGCAAAGACGTGTTGAGCATGCTATATGGTCCATCTTGCTCTGGCAGGACGCCGAAGACGCGGGATTACCGGCTCGCACCGATGGCTGCGCTGTACAAGAACAAGGTTCTCGATGTTATTGCTCATCGCGTGGCGATACTCTCTCATACTATGAGCTGCTGAGGGCGTGGTACGCTTGTTCTCAAAGCTCAACTTGGCATGCCGGCCGACACCGCGACTCAACAGCACCATTTGCTGGTCTCCAGCCCCCGGAGAGTGCGTTATCATCCGAGCTGCAGAAATTCTCTACGCCGTTGTCTTCGTAGTCCTCTAGTAAGTCTTGTCTGCGCTCGCTTTCAGTCTGACCTTTCTTCAAGGCTCTGAAAGTTCAGACTCGCCGGTGCTCCCAGCTCCTGCCATCCCACTTCCACGTATGTACGCCCCGACTGCCTGCCTTTTCCATCTCGAGTTTTCTCACAAATCACCACAGGGATCCGATGGATTAAGTATCACGACGAGGAGGTCGCGTCGTGCGTTCCCCCCGAGTTCCGCGCCCTTGGAGCCGCCTTCGATCCCGAAGATAGTGCCGCCCTCTCAAATGCAGACTCGCCCTCCTCCACAATACCCAATAGCCCCGTCAACCCTTCGTCGCCGACGCGCTGGGTTATCCGCATTTCCTCTCGCCCCTCTAGCCTCGGACCGCTGAACGAAATGACGATGGCATCCGCGTGTTCCGGCCGCTTCGGCCCTCCCACCACGCATACCTGGTTTCAGGTGTGCTTCAGAAGTGGGCGCCCGGTCTCGTCTGCGCTTGAGCTCGAGGAGAACGAAAGGTTGACCCAACATCAGACTCTCTCACGAGCCAACGACCCCGCCAGTCCCGACAGTCGACCGATGATTGTCTGCGCTATAGCGGAAAAGGGCATGTCCCTGGAACGGTGTGAGAGCGCATGGGATCTTGGCGAATCTATCCTACATGGAATGTTAGGTGCGATAGACAACAGAGCCGTAATTTTTGTTAATTTGTCTTTAGGGTGGCTGGCGGCGTATGAGCGAGGCTGTTGGCAGGCTGAGACTGGCAGCGCGATCCAAGTATTGGCAACATCTTGAGACTTGGTGAGGATCGGGCGCAGGCTTGGGGCACTGATACCACTTCAATTCGCCTCAACTCTACGACCAACAGGGACGAGAAACGGGATCGGAAGCCGACAACGCCTTGCCCGCTTTGGTATTAGGCCCTCCGTGTGTAAAGCAATCTTGACGGACGGTCTCCCTCGATTCCTTTACTACGACAGAGCGCAGCGCACAGACAGTATTGGTGAGTCCTTAATCATCTTATTCGACTCTACTTGCGGTTATGTATATACTGAATTTGTCAGGAAGTGACGGCGAGCTATCGACCTCTCGCAAGACTATGTGCAGGCCTCATTAGACGACCTGTGGGCGTTCTTCCACACTGCTGTGGGCTGCGCTGTTTCATGCGTGCCGCCCGCGTGTGGACGAGTCGGTAGAAGAGGCGTAGTGGCGGCACGAGCTGCCGTGAACGATTGCGACGCAGCGATCGAGGGCATCTGCGGGGTGCGGTCGTTCCAAGCTGAGCTCCCACCGATGTTGCGCGGCAGGGCGCCGGTGCTTAAGGAGTGGAGGGCGGGGCTTGAGGAGATGGAGGAGGGGTGGGTGGTAAGGAAGTATGAGGGCAGGACGGAGGGCGGAGTTGGGCTGGCGGACTTTGATGAGCTGGTGTGCTGAAGGTTATACGGGTTGTCGGGGAGCATCGCGAGCGGGTACAAAATACTGAGTACTCGTAGTTGACTGTACGAGTCGGCAGCGACGTCGATTAGATTACCGCAGAGTATCAAAAGGTGGATTAGGAGGAAGACACAACATCGAAAGACCGGACAAGCACGTAAGTATGATTTCACCGAGGTCAATACAGCATCGATACAAGTTAACGCACACTACTGCTGCTGCTGCTGCTGCTGCTGCTGTGGGCGCGGAGCCTGCTGCGGCCCCCGCCTCCGCCCGCCTCCACGCCGTCCCCCACCCCCATATCCACCCCACCCGCCAACATATGCGCCGGGCCCTAACAGTCCCACGCCGCCCGGCTCGCCAAATGTCGCGACATTCCTTTCCCTCTCCTCCTCGCGGCGATTATACCCGAACCCGCCCCGCCCGCGGCCCCTTCCCCCACCGCCGCCTCCGCTGCCTCCCCCGCGCGGCCCACCCTGCCCCTGCTGGCCTCGCGGCGCAAACGGCGGCGGCGACGACAATGAGTCGAAGAAGGACTTTTTCGGGTTATACGCGCCCGCGTCGTCTTTTTCCTTTTCCTTCCCAGCGGCGCCGCTACCCTCGCCACTTTCCTCCTCGTCGCTCGGGTTCGTGTGGTCGCTCCCCGCGCTGTCGGTGCGGGGGCGCGGGCTGCGCGTGGCCGCGAGCGCCGCCTTGTCGAATTTGGCGTTCATCGTCGCAAAGTCAAAGTCCACTGTGGGCACCGCGACGCCGGGCGCGCCGGTGCCGTTGCCACCGTTGGGGTCCCCGCCAGTGCGCTTGGTGCGCTGGCGGCGGGGGGCGGCGGCGTTGGCGGCGTTGGAGACGCGGAGGTCGCCGAGGGCGCGCTCGACGGTCTCGAGGGACGCGGCGGCGGTGTGGATCGCGTTCTGGTGCTGCTGCTGCTGCTGCGCCTGGGGGCCGCCTGGGCCCGGCGGGGCGTTGGGGCGGTGACGCGGGGGCTGGGCGCGCGGCTGCTGCGGCTGTTGTTGCTGTTGCTGCTGCTGGACCTGCGGCTGCTGCTGCTGCTGCTGTTGGCGGGGCGGGAGCTGCTGTTGTGCGGTCTGCGCATAGGACGGGGCAGACGCGGCGGGTGCTGGAGCCTGTGATGAGGCCTGAAAAACGGCAGGGTCGTCGTGCACGCTGCGGCGGGTTGGGGCCGGCTCGTCGACAGACAGGTCCTTCACCTCTGACGCGCGAAAGATGATATATTGGTACGGTTCTTGCACCGGAGGGATATACTCGGCGACAGGCCTGCGCGTGGGTCAACAAAGAAAGAAAGACAGAGGCTCAGTGCAGGGCACTGACCGACGAGACTCGGTGCCCATAGAGAATACTGCGCGTCGGTGAGCGGGCGAACAAGGAAAGGTAGAGAAACGGCGGACCATTTGAAAGCTGAATTGTGGACGCTGCAGGATCGATTCCTGCGAGAATGCCTCTGTAGCGAACATCTGAATGAGAAATGAGAGAAATTGGTTTTCTGGGAACAGTCAGCGCGCGACAGAAGGGCCAGCAGAGGCGTACCCGATGAAACTGAGTGCCATGGCGAGAAGAGAGAAATGGCACTTCAAACTCCGACGTGTTTGCGCAATCCAAACACAAAGCCTTTCTTCCACTACCATAATGAATATTTATCTGAGCTCGCGCAATCGCTCTACAACGCCTCGTCCGCATGGCAAGCCTCTCTTTCCTTCTACCCTTTCCCGTTGCCCGCCCAGATGATGCCAAAAAACACCTGGAGAGAACCCTCGTCGGATCTCGGTGAAACCCCAGGCCCGTCTCCACCCCCGTTCTCTTTCTGCTCCCGCGGATTGGAACCGTGCGGTGTAGGTGGGTCAAGAACGGAAAGCTGATGGGCTGGCATCCATCGACGTCGTATGTAGCTCATCAATGGCGTGCCAGCTTCCTGTTACCGCCGAAAATTCGGACGCCCACCTTCAAACGGCCCGACTAAGAAGATGTCCTACTAGCTCCTCTGTTCGTTGACTTCCATAGTGTCTGCTTTCTCCTTGCAACTGGAATGATTTTCGCCCCGTGTGGATTTCTCAAAGCCGTCAAACACTCGACATAGTCGTATGCCTGCGGTGATTCGTCTATTTTTCATATCGTTTGTCAAAGCAAAGCTGAGCCGCCGATGCGATATCCAGATGTCTCCCTAACCGACCAAGCTTCAAAACCCGGACTGATGTAGACGCGCTACTTACCATGTTTCAATTAAAATAAATATCTTGTGCGAGAAACCTTGGTTTCAAGCTCCTGCTGAACACATGGAACCGACGCTGCGCCAAGCATGTCTTTATACATAGTCGGATTCGACCTGTCGAGTGACGCGTCGTCTCGTTAGGTTCGCCAACGCCGCTCCTGTCGCCGCTGCCTTGAGCGATTACCGGTCAACAAATCCAATCTTCTAACCTCTGCAGAAACCCGCGACGGATTCGAATTGAAGACGAGGGGGTCCCGCCCCAGTTTTGCGACGCTCAGCCCGGTCTAGGTATCGGTATCTGGCCCTCGTTTTTTTGCGATCTACCTACCGTGTCAGTCATTCTGGAATTCAAAGCAGAAACCCATGATTTTGTTGTCTGCATTTTCCAGGGAAAGCTCTCATTGATTTGATTATCCTATATCCATTCTTCGTTGTCTTGAATTCTTCCGAGTTTTCTGAAGCAATTGATAGACTGTCCAAGTTCTTGGCAAGCTAATGTGATCGGAGTCCGACAGACACATAATTTTATAAAGAAGCTGGCTATTAAAATTCCAAAAGGAACTACCTATCTACTCTTTCATAGATGTGTATATCTCCGAATTGGTGTAGGGGTTAACATTGCCGCCTCTCAGGAAATTTAGGTTTATACAAACCTACCACGTGACTGGTCGCGGCAGCCCGGGGTTCGATTCCCCGATTCGGAATTTCGTTTTGCGTGCAAGGGTCCGTTGCAAATCTCTCTTTGTCATTTCTTTTTCCCGATTTATTGCGGAGGAGGGCCTGCAGGCAGTTAATTTGTTTCAAGAATGTTGACAGGTGGCTGTATGATCACATCACCGCCGGAGCTTCTCTGCTTGTGGCACGACAGCGACTCAGCTCAACGCTTCGTGAGGCTTCATGTTCCAGTGAGCATGTCTTTTGTACATTTGTTGGATCCTGACCTCATTCTCATTGCAGCATAGACACATTCTCCGTCCAAAGAACTTGAATAAAATGCTACTTCCTTTTTCACTTCAGCAATAGGGGACTTCACGGTAGGCAATATTTTCGGGTTTGTGAATAAAAATATTCGAGTGATGGGACAATTATTTTCCCAAACAAAAGATATTCCACAAACAAGATTTAATCTCGTTTGTGGAATAAAATGATCGTTTGGGAATTTATTCGTGTGAAACATGCCTGCTTGCCGAAAACAATAAAAATATATTCAGAATGACACAAACGGGGTGATCATGCATTTATTCCACAAACGAAGTCTTTATTCATCCCATCACCTGAATACATTTATTCACAAACAGAAAAATAGGCCCTACCGTGAAGTCCCCTAATGGCTCAATTGTGCTGGCAGTGCGGAGCTTTGCCATTCACGTGATTTATCTGTTCACGTGATATTTCGCGGCAGCCCGGGGTTCGATTCCCCGATTCGGAATTCTTTTTGCAATATTTATTTTATTTTGGGAGTGGGTGTCTATCCAGCCATCAGTGATAAGTATTGCACAGGCCCGTGCAGGCACAGCAAAGCCCACCAACATAGGATAAATCCTGTGACAGATACACATTTTTTATTGTAAGGAGCAGCAGATCATGCAACAAGATATATTTGAGGTGTGGTGAGTGGGAACAAACAGGGAATACAAGACAGCTATAAGGTACATAAATAGATGAAATATATATCCTGAGAGGTGCTGCAGAATTGTTACATCTGTGTTGGGAAGAAGGGAAAGAAGGAGGAGTGAATAGGATGATGGGAGAAGATTCTGGAGGAAGGATGTCCAAGGCCGGACAGAATGCCGGAAGACAGAACTAGACAGAGATGACAGAGGTTAACAAAGTTGACAGATAGAATTGCAGGAACACATCTGACACACTGTTGGATGACACGGTGCCATGAGCAGGACAAGTAGGAGCTGACATAAATAAGCAGAAGGTAGCTGGAGATGTGAAAATATACCTCTTTGAGTGCAAAGATCCAGACAGCTGGAAGATAGGTGGAAGGAAGTGCCAGATACAGATTCCTGACAATACTGAAGCCAGTCCAGAAAGGACAATGTCAAAGGGTAGTGATGAGGCCACAGAAAGCTATAAGGGCAACCTCAAGCTCGGTGCAGGGCACAGAAACTAGTAGGGGAATCCAAAGTAAATTAATAGACTATACTAATACAGAGTGGGAATCTTACACACCTAGCAGGGGAATCCGAAGAGAAGAAAGGATAAGGATTCCCATGCTAGGTGAAGCTTATGAAGTAAGTAGGTACTAGCCAGTAGTACGTGTCTGGAGGGACCGGCAGTGGTCCCAGGCCTGGTTGCATAACATGTGCCATCATCATTGACTGGAGGGGGTGGAGTTTGGGGGGGAGATCAGAGTGGGGTTCGGAGTGGAGATTGGAGAAGTGGAATTCAGAGTGGAGGGCAGAGGAGGGGTTCTCCTGAAAAAAGCTCCATTTGAATGGAGAAGGCAGATTCGTCGCAGGGAACAGTGAGGATGCCAGACAATACCAAGTGAGAAACTGATACACCAGTTTGAAGAACCCAGTCAAGTGACAGCCTCAGGTTTGGAGCATTTGTATTGAATGTTGTGGAGATGGCCAGGTTCTGGAACTTTGCAGCAGCAGGCATAGCAGATGTAGACATTGAGCTAGAGAAAGATAGAGGAGAAAAAGAGAGTGAATCACTACCACTGCCACGTTAACCTCACAAACATGTGTCACCATCAGCAATGTTTGATGAGAAAACTTTGGGACAAAAAAGTAGGGTGATGCGAAAGAGCTTACAAATTTTGACACCTTTGTGACGCTCAGCCAAAATCAGGTTGATGGGCGCTATATAAGAACCCATATCTGAAGGTAGTGGGAATGTCTTCTTACTTATTGTTATACCTTACTTCTTTCTCCTTTCATAATAACAATTAGCTTACTTCTATAAAACACTGTAGATACACTCCTGTATTTCAGTTTGACTATTGATGTTGTTTCCCTATTTAAACATTTCTTCTGCATTAACATCTCAAACCTCTCTCATCTCCCTCTTCCAGCTCCCACTGGACTTGACACCAACTCCGTCCCTCCATCCGGACTTGATTTCTGTCAGTCCACTCAATGCTTGGACTTTGACTAACCTCTCTCAGAGTTATCCTTGACCTCTGCCTCCAACTCCAATCCCCCAGACATCTCCGGACTCCACCCCACCCATCCGTATACGAGGGGAGATCTTTCAGTCACCTCCCTTTGTCATTTCCTCTGTTCCAAGACCAACATGGCAGCCCACACTCACCCTGCACCTCAGTGGTGTTATGTTTATAATAGAGAGTTTGCGTGAAGCCACCCAGAGCCACCCAGGTGGCTTTGAGGCATGTGCAAGCTAGTGGCTTTGGCTTCCAGGTGGCTTTTCAGATGGCCGTCATATTGTTGCCTCATGTCCCTCCCTGTGTCCAAAAAAATCTGCCCTCCTCCCACCATGTGCAAAGACATTACATGAGGCCAGATTATGTTTTGCAGAGATACTAAAAGTTATTTTGGGTAAATGGAATGAAGATTTTGGCAATGTTGGTAAATCAAGTTAAAAAAGGGTGAATATCCAGTGAATGTGTGGTGCTTAAGGGCCCAATTCTTCTTGGTAAACATAATTCATGTTCGGTGAAGAGGCCCACCTGCTGAAATAATATCAATTACACCATTAATGAGCCACCCAGAAAGCCACCTGGGTTGCTCTGGATGGCTTTGCGCAAACTCTCTAATATCTATGATTCTGGATCTAGTTTCTCCCGACTCCATTAACCTCCGTCATCTTTGCTAACCTCTGTCGTTTCATCTAGTTCCATCCTCCAGTATTCTGTCCTCTGGTCTTGGACTCCCTTCCTCTGGAATCTCCCCACCATCCTATTTACTCCTCCTCCAGTTCCTTCCTTTCCATCCAACACAGATATGACAGCTTCCCAGCAGTCTGCAGCTCTTATGTCTCAGATGTTCCAACATCACCCAAATCCCCAAGGTTCTGGTTATTTGAATTCTATACAGCTCACTTAGAACAGATCATAGCTCATAGAGGATTTTCATGTTTGCAGCACCAACTGGAAAGAAACCAAATGAAAGGGCAGGCTGTTGTCAGGCTCCAAACTCCATGGCAATGATGGATGTTGATTTCCACTAGAATGGACATATCCCAGAACTGAAGAACCACAGCACACAGCATATAAGGCACCCTCATGCCTTGCAGCTCTTCGTTCACCCTGTGGGTGGCCTTATATCCTAATATTTCTTATTGTACATTTCCACTCCCCATTTTCTTGATGGTGCTACTATCAGGGGAACCCCTGCTCCAGCTCCGGCTCTGGCTGCTCTGGCTGCTTCTACTCTTCCAGTCAGTTCTGCTCCAGATGGTTTTCTATCTGATGCCCCGGACAGTTTTCTGTCTGCTGCTCTGGACACTCCTGCTTCTGTCCATCTGTTCGCCCAACTGTCTGCTCTCGCTGGCATGTGCTATATGATCAGGCCTGAGATTGTTGTAGATACCTACAGACACGTGCTACTGGGTAGTTACCAACTAGTATATAAGGTTTCACCTGTGGGAATCCCCATCCTTTCTTCTTTTCGGATTCCCCTGCTAGGTGCATAGTATTTCCGCTCCTGTATTTAGTACCCATATTTATACTTCGGATTCCCCTGCTAGTTTCCGTGCTCTGCGCTGAGCTTAAGGTTGCCCTTACAGCAGAAGAAAGGATCTAAGGGATTAACTGGTCAAGATTGAGAAGTTTGGTGCAGGTAAGGATTTGGTGATAAGCACGGGATTCGTCCACCCATGAAATCTTCGCTTTTTCGTGTTTTCATGACAAGACATGTGCTGGGCTATGCTCCAGAAGAGTCAGTACTGAGGTTCCCAAATAGCTGGCTGGGCAGGAACCACTAAGTAACAGATGGGAATGGGGAGGAACACTCTGGAACCATTGGCATGTGCTCGCTCCGAAACACATAGGAGATGTGTAGCCCACAGAACAAGTGGAATGTGAAGTCTACTCTATTCCTGCTCACAGAGCTAGATGGGGACAGACTGGAATCCTGTTGTAGTGTGTTGGACATTGGACGCATACTGTGTTCTGATCAGATGATCACTTGAAGGGGCTGGGAACATCGCATCTTGATGGTTCCATGCTGTCCTGGGCATTCCAGATATGGGATGGTCACTAAGTGAAGGTCCGATCACTTGGACCTATACTCGTCGGCTCTTGGAACAAGTACCCATGCTGGGGAGTACTTTAAATACAGTATCCCTCAAGAGCTATGGACCAGGAGCTTCTGTTCCAGATGTTCTGGTAGATGGGAAGGCACTGGCATTGGAAGGAATAGACTATCTAGTTGGGATCAACATAGGGAACTGGTTGTGATGGCTCGGGAACTGTATCTCCGATTGTACATGTGCACAGGATTACACCAGTATGGCGTGCTCAACATGGGCAGCCAATGGAAGGACACAGATACCCAATTCTACGATAGACACACAGAAGTTGGATGGATAAACAGACTATTTTACTCATATCTACTTATTTCTCAGATGTTTCCATGTGTTTCAGGACTTTGTATTTAGTAGCAGGGGCATCTTGGGCGCCTTCACGGAATCATCCCATGGCTAGTAGGTGGAAACACTTGTGAATTGGGCAGATACTGGGGAGTTCAAACAAGGTGTCTCTTAGAATTCATTTTGGCTTGGAATC